ATTAGCACCCCCTTTGGAAATCACAGTTAACACCCAAAGATGAAATTTACCCCATGATTTACTCACCCTCAAGTCATCCTAGGTGTAAATAGACATTCTTCTTTCAGACAAATGCGGCTGGAGTTAGGCTATATTAAAAATGATCTGGCTTTCCCAAGCTTTATAATGGCAGTGAATTTGAAGTCTATACGACTTTTTTTTTTGTACAAATTTAAGAATTTGAACGTGAAGAACGCGAATTTAATACATTTAAGCAATGCTGTTGTATCTTGGAACCCTGCTCAGCCTATCACATTTGAGGAACTAACTTTGACACACTAATGTAAATTTGTATAATGTTTCGTATTACCCACCTTCCCCTAAGTGAAACTATATGTGAATTTTACCTATGTTGATAACATGAGATTAAATCACAGAATCTAAATAAAGGCCTGCAGAACTACACAACACACAAACAATACTTTCCTGTATTGGTTTGTATTGCCAGTCAGTATACACAAATGGATACTGCATTGATGCCGGTGACATTACTGAGACATAAGATACGTTTTTAAAGTGCATTAAAACTAAAATTACTCAAATACTGAAAAGATCAGTGAAATATGACAACTGAATAGGATTTGACCACAAAAATATAAATATAAAAACTACACATAACACATCATTTGTAAAATCACAAATGCAATTTAATTAAAACAGGGCCAGTGAGCTTAGCTGCACTTCTACTTCAAAGACGATACAAAAAATTATCATGATTTTCAACAGTTCGGTTACAAATCTGTACACAATACATAAAGCAATGAAAAATAATTATAATTCTGCTATGGCCAGTACAAAATACAAATCAGGCATTAAGTAAATATTTACAACAAAATTAACAAATTAGAGAAAATTAAAATCAATAAATAAAATTGGCTAACAAGCTTTCAGACTTAAAGGGGGACCCACAATAAATATTTACATTTAATTTGAGATTAAGATGAGATGGAGTGTCAAATTCCAGAACTTATACAGGTCTCTCTCTCACAAACACACTGAACTCAAAACTGCACAGAATGGTTCAGAAGCTACACAGTGCAGCAGTGTGAAGTTGATCTCCTGAACACAGTTTAAGAGCTTGTTCTCAAACAGTCAGGGCATTAATGATTTGCACATGTTCTCACTGTAAAAAAAAAAAAAAATCTTTTCATGTTTAGTAATTACAACATTTTGAGTTTCGGATGATTAAATCATTCTCCTTCATTGTATCAACTCCCTTTTTCCATTTCAATGAACTTAAAATTTTAAGGCAACCAGCTTACTTACTTTTTTAAGTTAAACCAACAATATTTTTTACAGTACATGTGTGCTTAACACTGCTAACGCTACAGACCTGGTTGTACAAGACAGCAAATGTAAATAATAACAACTTCTTTGTCTTCAAGAGAAACTTTGAATGTCGGCTGGAGAAAGTTGAGCCTGAACGTTTTAAGGTTCTCTTGAAGTTCAAGTCTTAGCTAGGCCATATAGACACTTCTAATATGTTTGGTTAGCACAGCTTGAAAGCTCCAAACAATTAGAAAAGAAGTGAGAACAGTCTGAAGGACTGACTGATGGATGTAATTTGAACACCCTTTTAGGAATTAACCTAAGTGTATGTGTACAAGATAATATTACTGGCTTTGTCAAGGCCACACAATAAAAAAAGTTAAAATGTAAAAGTAATGGAAAATACATACATTCGGAAGTACACGACACCAGAACCAAAAATCAATTCCTTAAATTCAAAATTTCTTCAAAAGAATCACATAAAAAAAGAACTATGCATGATCCTTGTGAAAATATTTACATATTCAAAAACCCTTCCTTTGCACAAAGGCACGAGTGCATTACAGTTTGATCTTTTTTAAATAAGACTTGAAAACATGCATTTTAAGTGCAGAGGAGTTTGCAATTCCTCAAATTTACCATTTTGTGGAAAAAAAAAAAATATGGCTGAACAAACAACTCAATTACAATACAATTTCTTTACAAGTCAATGAGAGTACGTGTCCTTAAATCATCCTCAACATGGACGTTTGAGATAAACCTTCTACAAATGTGGAAAAATAACGAAAGTCAGGATTAAGTGGGATAAACAGAATGATGCTGTGCACTCGGAGCGATCCAGATAGGGATTTTGAGAGGAAATCTTGATTCTGACCCCTTCCCTAAACACAAGTCCTGAAGTTCTGGTTAAGTGGGATTACAGAGGAGATCACGGGGTCAGAATATCCAGTGCTTGCAGCAAATATCAGGGATTTAGGGCCTAGTGGTGCAAAACACAAAGCTGCAGAAAACAGGACTGGGTGCTTGAGCTCTGAAGACAAATGGATATTCAAAAGCAACACAAAACAAAACAGCCAATCAATCAAGTCTCAATTTTTAAGCTTGTTGGACATTAAGAACAAGGCACGCCAATAATGTACGAGAAACTGCACTATGAGCTCATTTTCTGACTAAGCAAAGACCCAAACACTGTTTTTGGCCACAGCAAAAGTTTCCATATCAATGACATCACCATTCACTTCATCAGGAAACACCCTGGTTTCGCCTGTGCCTTTTCTTATTTAAAACTGACACTGGCTTGCATCAAGACCAAAGCTCATGGGGCTTAAACTTCAGCTCTCATTAAAACCTAACTGGAGGGTAGAGACCGTTCCAACCACATCAGGGCTAGATCAAAAGCTTGCTTTTCCCAGAATGCCCTTCACCAAAGTCTACGCAAATCTGGATTCAAAGTGACAGACTACACACTCGGTCTCTGTTGAGACTTTTCAATCCCTGCTGATAAATCCCAGAGTGATTCCTCGCGTTCAAAGTGAGAGTGATAGTTGACCTTATTGACTTTAACTCAAAGCTTTTTGCAGCACAAGCAAAATAACTCTACACTAATACAAAAGAACACTTCAGTGAGAAGCAAAATAGCTGTCCCAGAACAAATGTCTTCAAAAGGGAATGAAGCTATTAAGTAAATAACAGTTAATGTTTCTTGAACGAGTTCATCAATTAACAGCTATAGTTTTCCAAACAAGTACTGCTCCTTTTCTTTGAAATTAAGCCACATTTAAGAGGAAAGTCTTGAAAACAGCAGAGAAGTAACATATGGCTTGCTGGCTTAGATTCTTGTAGTTGAATCTCAGGCAATTATCTCTGCATTTCAGCTTAGCAACAACACAACTTCCTATTTTTCAATCTCCCTCCCTTTTTATTACTGATTTCTGGGAACCACAGTGAAAGGTAAAATGGGTAAGACAGCATTATAAATACTTGTCAGGCATAAACACTGAGATAAAACATACAAGTTTGACATGGTTGTGTCATTCTGCTTCATAATGAAGGTAGTGGGTGTTGGGACCCCTAAAGCTGAAGGTGCTTGTATCAGGAATCCTGCCATATGCCAAAGCTTAACTAAAAATAACCAGGGTCAAATATTAACTTTGTGCCACAATGACAGGAGAATTGAGGAACTTTTTTGGCAATAAATATTTCTTATAAGAATTTTATCCTGTCGTTATGACAACATATTTAGTTGTTTTCCTCTGGAATATTTACTGCAGGTAATCTCACAAAAACAATGTATCGGTGGTTTAACGCCGGGAATGTCCAACGCAATCTCACAGCAAATCGTACATATTTTTACGAGGTGGCTAAATCGTACGACCTCACTCGTACGTTTTCGTACAATTTACAGTTCACACCTCACTCGTACAGTTTCGTACAAAGACCCCAGTGATGGGTAGGTTTAAGGATATGGTTAGGGGTGGTCCTTCCTAAAGACACTTTTTGGTAAAACATATGAAATCGTAAAAATGCTGTACGATTTCGTACAAATTAGCCACCTCGTAAAAGAAAAAACAAACAAAAAAAAAACATACAAATTATCGTGATATCAGGTTGAAATGTCACCACTTTTGTTGTCGTTATTAGGACAATTTAAGAAAAAACTCTATCGTTTCTTGATTTGCAATACACTAACACTTAAAATATGTATTATGTTGCTAATCCTAAGAAATTATTGGACAACTGTGTTTAACTCTCCAAAGTGAATTCTTGCTCATATTTTGATCAATTTGGACTCTATATAATATTGTGAATATATAACTAAAAAAAAAATATATATATATATATAAATGGAGCCCTCAATTGCGGTTTACAGCACATTTCAATGTTCGTGATGCTATAATACATTCAATCACAGAAATGATCGAAAATGCTGCAGTTTTAGTTTAAATAAGTCGCAATTAACACTTGTGTGTATATATATATATACACACACACTCAAAAGTTTGGGATTGGTACGATTTGTAAAAATAAATGCATACTTGCAAGGATGTATAAAATTGATTAAAAGTGACAGTAAAGACGTTGTAACGTAACGTATTTCAAATAAACAGTTCTTTTGAACTTTCTGTTCATGAAAGAATCTTGAATAAAAAATTGAGCAGCACAACTGTTTTCATCAATGATAAATGTTTCTTGAGCAGCAAATCATCATTAAAATTATCTCTGAAGGATCATGTGACACTGACACTGGAGTAATGATGCTGAAAATTCAACTTTGACATCACAGCAATAATTTTAATCATAGATACAGATTTATGTACAGCATGTTGTAATTTTTTTCCATATTTTTTGCCTAGAAGACAAAAATATTACGAAAATCTAACCAACCCCAAACTTTTGAATGGTACACCTCAATCAGTTGTGATTTATGGAATAAATAGCACATCTTTAGAGAAGCCATTGTTGAGTTAATCTGCTTAGAAACGTCGATGAGTTCAGATTGAACACAATGAGCCAAACAACCTTCATCAGAGACATTCTTTCATGGTTATAAAAGTCATGGCACAGTGTTGTAGAGTGGACATCTTGGCCACATCTATTAACAAAGGCAGCTGAAACTGTAAACAATCTACTAACACACCTCCTAACACCCCTTTTGAAGGCTAGAGGAGGCCGTATCAGTGTTGTCTGCACTCATGTTTTGCCAGGGGGATGCTTTGGTTGTTGTGTGTCGTGTTGAGCTGATACATTTTTGGGGTAGCAGGGAGGAGAGGTGGCGGATGGTGGGTGACAGAACTCCTTGATGGTTACGGTGAGGAGGTTAGCTGTGATATCCGTAACGACCACATTGGCACATCGGGATGTCATGTCAGGATGCCAGTCCAAATCTTCTTCCTCCGACGGCTCCTCTGACACGGGAACTTCTGGAACCTTGAGCTGCCGACGGCCAGAGAAGGGATGCCGTCGCCGCAATCGCCTGTCCATTTCATGAGGTACGGAGAGGTCCAGAATGTGTTCGTTGTCTTCTGAGGATGACGACGCAGAGGACGAAGAGGAAAACATAGGAGAGGACGGAAGAGCAGAAGGACCCGAGCTGTTTTTGGATGCCACGGGTTGAGCGCCCCCTTTGTGAAGGGCAGGATCTTGGGAGTTGGTTGCAGAGGTTTTGGGTGATAATGAGGAATGCTGGAATTGGGTTTGTCGCGGCGAGGGTGGCTCGCCGTCTGAAACTTCCGAGCTTGAGTTTGACGGAGGCAGTTCATCATTGAGAGTCTGACCTTTGGACACGTCCAGGACCTTTGAACTTTTGGAGGAAGAGAGATTGTTTGTGTTGTTGCGACTCTCTCCACTTTGAGTCTGGTTGTCTGCACTGCTCAGAGAGTGAGAATCGAAGAGTTTTCCGAAAACAGGAAACCCAGAACTCCTAATTGGGGGCTGGATTCCTCGGTAGGACACTTCTCCAAACCGCCTGTTTTTACCAATCACCCTGTTCCGGGATGGAATTTTCTGCCTCCCGAAATGGGACTGCTGGGTAGCGGGAACATGTGTCCTTCTGCTATTAGCAACTCCGCCATTCCCAGCCTTGTCAACCACTTTGAGGTTCAGAATGACCCGTCCCTTTTTCACTTCCCTGGGTTTGACTTTTCGATTGAGAATACGGACCGTTTCCGAAAAGGGACTGACTGTTGGGCGGGAAGAAAAAGGACCGGAGGGACCGACTGTTTGATCCAGGCGGGGCAAGGGACGCCGTGCCATGCGATGGCAGCGGTGAATGTCTTTTTTCAGTTTGGGCTGAGCAGCGCCCGACTGTAGTTTAGCATTAGATGGGGCAGTTGGGGTGTAGGACGGTGCAGCTAAGGGCGGAGGAAGCTTGGAATGCAGCTGAGGACGACTATGCTTGAACTCCGGGACTCTTGGGGAAGTGTCTGCAGCCTGCGCTCTTGACTAAATAATTGGGAAAAAGTCGAAAATTATTCACTTATAAAAGAGTTAGTTAAACCTTGTCACCTTTTTACCTCACCCTTATGTCGTTGCAAACCAATAGGACTTTCGCTCATTTTTGAAACACAAATGAAACCTGAGAGATTTCTGCCCCGCTATGAAGTCCACTAAACCAAAACTGCACTTGCTCGATATACGCGAGAACTAATGAGGTTTGTTCTCACGTGTCACGCAAGCACGTTTAAGCTTTTATCAAGAACCAACCAATGATTTTGTTCTTGCACGTAAAGCAAGTACACTGAAAATATTTGGTGTAGAAAAAAAAATTCACAATTTATTAAAAAGAAAGAGTATATTCCTGTAAAATGGACAATAATCTTTCTTTCAAGCGATTTTAAACTATAAAGTACTCGTGAGCTCTCTGAGAGATGTTCTTCAGTCAGTACACTCTCAACCAAAGTGCACACACCTCTTGTTCAAATTGCACCTCATGTGTCGGCTTTATAACACATAAATGCTCAAATACACACATACAGTTATGTCTAAATGTATGTGTAAATTAATATTTGGTGAATATTTGCATTGGCAAAGAATGTGAACAGCATATTATCTAGTTCATTAGGTCTTAGCGACAGCAGCCTTTAAATCCTGCTACTGTCTAATATTGGCTGTCTATATTATTAGTGATAATCAAACAACAAAAGAAAAGCTTTAATAAGGATTAATCTATATTTAACTTGTACTGTTATGACTATGCAGGGTTGTTTTATATTTGATTATTCCATTTCTGTAGTATGTTGACTTGAATACTACTGTTAGACAGTCCCTGAAAAAATATACCGCAGTTTAATTTGTATTTTTTTTTTATTATTGTATATATTTATCTACTGCTTCTAATGTGCTTATTCTTTTGTTTTATTACTGAATATTGCAACAAATTATCTTATAGAAATACAAGTACATTGTTTTGGTATTTTTTGGTATAATTGGTATTATTATTTTTTAACTGTGGTATCGACTTTGCTATCGAGTATTGTGTACTTTTGGTGGTATTGGTACCAAATATTGGATTTTTGGTATCATGACATTCCTAATTTTGTCATATTTGATGTACTCTACATATGAGCGTTGATCAATGTTTATAAATGAATAAAAGCCTAATTTAAATCTGCAAGTCATAAAGCAAGCAAAAAGACTTAAACTGCCCAATTTATATGATATTCTTTTACAATGTTTTTATGAACCTTTTGAAGCATCAAAGTTTTGTTCACATAGACTTTCAAGGGAGGGACTTTCATTAAAAATATCTTCATTTGTGTTTTGAAGATGAATGAAAGTCTTATAGGTTTGGAATATGAGAGTAAGTAAATGATGAGAACTTATTTTTGGGGTGAACTGTTCTTTAAAATATTTTTAAAACATATTTACAAAACAAATTCAATAAATGACACCACAAAACACATGTATTTCCATGCCAGTTGGTATTGCTGCTGACGTACCTTTAGAAGCAGCGTTTTAGGTTTCGGGCCTCTCTTTTTAGGTCCATACATCTCTTGTTCTCGCTCTCTGAGTAAAAAGACGAGTTGATCAAAGGGTTTGTGATTATGTCAGGGTTTGAGCTTGTATACTGAGTGCTTGTGCCAGTTTCAGCTTTAAGAACAACAAACGTCCTCTGAGCATTAAGCATGACTACAAAAGATTTACTTGAGATGTGAGACTCAAGTATTCATGTGATGTGGATAGAGATGTCTCGAGACTGCTTCCTGTGGGTATGCAGGAAAGAGTCAATCTAGCTTTGACTCTGGGAGACCACTTCAAACAGAGGAATCAACTGTCACAAACGTATTTAACGCTCATGATCGCAGGAGTTAACATTTCGTAACTTGTCCGTTTCCTTTAAAATTGCTAATCAGGGGGATATCATTAACGATAAGAAGCAATAACTCACTTTTGTTCAAATGCTGCAACCAGTCGTTCATCTAGGATGTTCTCCTCAGGTTCCCATGTGCTGTACCTGAAAAAAATATACAAAATATATATAATTTAACATTCACTACTTGTTAGGCATACAAGCTTAACTAATGAATCATATTTCTGTTAACTCACTTTATTGCCCATCCTTTCCATTTCACTAGGTACTCCATCCGTCCCTATGGAAATAACAAATCAGTTTCCAACATTTCTGAAAGATAACTCATTGAAATAATAGTAAATCCAAAAAGATCATTCTGTTATTATTTACTCTCCTTCATGCCCTAATAAATCTGCATGCTGTTGTTTTTCAGTGGAAGACATAAGTAGATATTTTTAAAGATTCTTTACTCAGCTTGTCATACAGATCATGCTCCATCATATATATTTAAACACCTGTAAATATATCATAAAAAGTAGAGCATATTCATCAATCCATCCTTCAAAATGCATGTCCTATTTAGAGTCGAGTGGAAGTTGTCCATATGACAAAGTTATTTTAAAGGGGTACTTCACCCAAAATGAAAAATATCCGATAATTTAAGAAAAAAAAAGAGAGAGTCGAGTTTCAGCATATGACGTAGGCATATGATGTTCGTCACTTCTCACAAGATGCTACACATAGGCCATACATCAGCTTTTTTGAGGACTACAAAAAATGGCACCATTCGATCAAATTAAAAAGCTTGGAAGAGCCTGGATGTGTTTTAATAACTAAATATACCTTGATTGTGTTAGGCTAAAAGAAGAAAGTCATTTACACGTAGGATGGCTTGCGGCAGTAAATTATGGGATAATTTTCTGTTTTTTGGGTGAACTAAGGTGAATTATCCCTTTAAGGCTTTAGAGGACATGGGATAAAGTCATTTGAACAAACAAACAAAAACAAAAAAAACTACTTCTTTAAATTCTTACCTCATAATAATAAAATACCAATTAGTGCATCAAATGCAACACACTATACAAAGTTCTTTCATATTTTTAACAATCAGTAGATGCTGGTGATTTGACAACCAAAATTTCCCCCACACCGAACCTCAAAAAATCGCCTGCTGTACGGAAAACAAAAACAAACAGCGATTTGAACGTCAAAACTAGTGGTTGCTACGCGACGCGACGCCACTCGCCACAGATACAGAACGCAAAGATTCCATTATAAATGAGTATACAACCGCGCGAAAAATGTATACCGTTCAGTTGCTTTTAACGCAATGTAAACATTACTGTTGTGTAGGCTACAGTGCAAGCGATTTAATGTTGCAGCGTCGCGTCTCATCGCGCCTGCTGTCTATGGGGTGTCAGACGAACCGGCCTTTGTCAAAAATTTACACTCCGGGTAGACACAAAAAAGCTAACGCGCTAACAGCACCAGTCCCGCTCCAGCTGGCGCCAGTCTAATCTAAACAGACACACACTACACACTGCACCCTGAGCTCAAAATTAAGCAACACAGTCGTATGAATGCATACACAAAATATGCGAAACACGGGTTACTCGAGCGGTTTATAGTTGCACAGAAAGCATGGTGCTCTAATGCAGTTCAATTCACTGCGCTCGGTCTGCAGGGCTGAAGTTACTGGGTTTGTAGGCCGCAGTGAAAGAAATAAAATGAGTTTTAATAAAACAGACTGACCTTACGGACGCGGCGCTTCAGAATGGCCTCGGCGGCAAACACACGGTCGCCTGCCGCAGACAGCTCCATCTTAAATGGGACAGCAGAGACGGGTTCTTCCGCGGAAGCGATGGAAAGATCCTGCGCCGTGGAGTGGAGGAGTGAACCAAACACAAACACACACATGCGCCCGCGCGCCTCTCTGACAATACGGCCCATGCAAGGAGAGAGAGTGATCGACAGTTAATTGAAACTTGCGGGTGGCCAGTTTCATATATATTAGGATCCTATATTATGTAATTTATTTTTAATTTTATTACTTTTATTTTATTATCATTATATTAAACTATCATCATCATCACTAATGACAGACACTAGGCATTATTATATTTATAACACACATTTAAAAATGATAAATTTAATAATAATAAATATTATTAAAAATAATAAATTAAATGTAATATATATTGTATGATTATGCTTATGGGATAAATAAGTAGGCTATATGAGTGATGTTAAAGTGTATAATTGTTTTCCAAGCACAAGCAAGTTTTTATAAAACATTTATGGGCCTGTCGCAATGAAAATAATTTATGTGAACTATTTTTTATAGTAATAATAATGACAAAATAATATATATTATTTAAAATATATAGATAATATATATGAAGCAACTGCAAAATAATATAAAGTCGATTTGGATAAATGTGTCTGCCAAGTGCATAAATGTAGCTAAATCAGGGGCTTGCAAAGGTTTCTGATCACTGCACTGAGAAAAATACTAAGACGGTACAACAGCAGAGTCAGACCTGTCTCCTCCTATCTCTGGTGTGCAGTGTTTACGGCAGGTGTCTAACCTAAGTCACACTTTTATTACTCTGCACTGTTCAATAATTCACAGGCCACACGGGTGACAATAGCTCACCGTTTCCCCCTCTCTCTTATACACACACAAATACTCAACTCACAAACAGGACACGACCAGAGAGGACACAGGAAACAAGGGGGAGATCAGCAGTCAGTCTGGTTGTTTGTTGTTTAGTAAGTGGAAGTTATTTATTTGTTTGCTGTGCTACGGTGACGGATCAGGATGTCAGGACAAAACAGTGATCAACTGCACCGCACCACTCTGGCCATTTATACGGTAAGCGTGAAGTCTTTCACAATTGAGTCTGGATTACACAATCACATGTCTATTAACTGAATAGAACATGTGTAATAAAATACACTGACATTTATTTACATGTATATACAATTATGTATTTTGCCCAGAAATGTTGCCTATATAATTGTATAATAAATCTATAAATATCCAGCATGAAGCATAGATTTTTTTGATCATATAATTTGCTCATATTAAGTTAAATAAAATATTTATAAATATATTTGTTCAGAAGTGTTTTTTAGATTAGATTTTTTAGATGATTAGAAAATGTGGTGTAACATATAGTTACAAAATGAGTTGACATTTGATTAGTTATTCAGATTGTCATTCCCAAACCGTTTGTCCTCCCGCTCAGAGCGTAATGGAGCAGTTCAACCCAAGCTTGCAGAGACTGGTGACACTGGGAAACAGCTACATTCAGGCTTTCCAAGGCAAGTTAACATGATAAAGAATGAATGAGGTTGAGTGAGGCAAGCAAGTATAAGACTGGAAAAGATGAAAGGAGGAAGAAAAAATGGAGTGGCTGAACTTTGGTCTGCCGGTTGTCGTTGATGATAATAAGTCAGCATTGCTGCAACGCCATTGGCTCGTTCAACATCATTGTTTAATGACTGTCTATTTTATGAGTCTTGAGTTTCACTAACACCAGGGTAACTGTGCAAACTTGACATTATGTACATCAGAAGCTTTGATAGTGTCTGTTCCTATGAAAAATTTCTTTTCGATTGTTTGATAGTCATCTTCCAATTGATTAAAGAATCAATAAAGTGATTTCATAGCTTTTTATAGTGTTATGGTGGTTATACAATATATATTTTACTTTATACCAGTCCTCAAAATCGGTGTCGCATACAGAACTAAACTCCAGCCCAAAGAAAGAAAATAATTAAAATCACAAAAAAAGAAATAAAATCATAAATATTGTGTGATATATAGTTCATTCATGAAACTCTTGAGGTAGGTGGATAGGTTCTTTACATGCTTTCTGCAAACAATTACCTCATGGCACAAGCTGATTGGCCTCTGGTGATTATGCAGCCAATGAGATTACTCGCTCATTTAAATCTGGTTTAGTGTTGAAAACCCTCTGAAACCCTCCACCTCACCCAGCTCCACCTGCCTAGATATGCTAGATCTTCAGGATTTATGTAGCCTGTGTCTATTTGAGCGTGAATATATATAGTGTATATATATATAGCCTCTTCCACGCTCAAGCGCATACATAAAATGTGTCTCAAAGCACCAGAAAAAGTAGCCTAATGATTATGAATGTGTCAGTGCAAAAAGGGTGCAGGAGACATTTTAATGATTTATTAATAAACTAGTGTTTTCTGCGTCAGTGTCTGCTATGAAGATGAAGTTGATGATGCTGCCTTGACACGAACGTCCCTAGAGAGAAATGCAACTTTCTTTTCGATTTGAATTGGTCTGTTTAAAGGTAGACATTTTAAGCTTTCTATAGAAATATTTCTCATGTCAACACTATTAATTTTGAAATGAATCTGAAGCAGTCAGTGGTACAGGTCAGTGCTCTTTAAGTTGTTTACATTTACATCTTTTAGCAGACACTTTTATCCAAAGCGACTTACATCTGAGGACTAAACCAAGCGAGTCATCGGGAAGAGGCAAAAACAACGCAAGAAGTGCTTGAAAAACAAAGTTTAGACATTGCTCAGAGTAGCATAAGCCAGATAAGCAAGGATTTAAAGGATTTAAATGTTTATGTTCATTATTATTGTAATGTTATGTGCTTTGAGAAATGAGGTAATTTAACGTCGTCTCTAGTGACGCTTTGTGTGGGCTTATGTGTTTTGATGGAGGCATGTCTTTGGAGTCGCTTTGAAGTGGGGGTGGGATCTCATGCTTTCAAAGTTAGCCTGCCCAGAAATGACATATTTTCTGTCTAACAAATTCTTGAATGAAAATGTATTTAATATTTTATTTTAGGAAAGTTCATCTTGTTTAAAGGATGTCCAGATATTATAACTGTGAAAAGATGTTAAAATCAGTCTTACTATGGTAAATGAATCAAAATGTGTGTCTACAGCCCTTGCCGTCACCAGTGAGGCCTATTTCAATGCTCTGTCTAAGATGGGTGAACAGGCCATGCAAACTATGTCATCGCACTTGCTAGGTAAGCTTTTATTTCCTCTTATCATTTCATGTTCTTTCACAATCTTTTACTTTTAAATTACAGCAGGACACATTTCTGTCGAAGTCAAAGATTTTTTCGATACACAGTTCATTTTCTTTTTTATGATAAGTACTTACTTTCCATCACAGGGACAGTGTGGGAGAGCGAGAGAAAGAGTTTTGAGTGTTTTTTTATTAAGGGTGATAAATTGGGAGGGAGACAGTGTCCTTCAAACACTCATATTGTACTTTGCTCTTGTAAAGGCACTCTGTTCTTCCCAGAACCTTCTTACACACGAGAGAGAGAGAGAGAGAGAGAGAGAGAGAGAGAATTTTGAATTTGAAAACACATTTTATTACAATCAAAAATTAAACATTATTTCATTACATCATTCTACATTTTATAAAACACACACACACACAAAAAAGCCTCTAATCTACTATTTATACATAACACCATAAAAATACTCCTTGTACAGCAAACAGGTAGCAAAAATTTTAGGTTGAGAGAGAGAGAGAGAGAGAGAGAGAGAGAGAGAGAGAGAGAGAGAGAGAGAGAGAGGTAGAGAGAGAGAGAGAGAGAGAGAGAGAGAGAGAGAGTTTATTTATGGCTGACATCTATCACCCTGTTGTAGTTTAATGGAAAAATTCCATTAAATTTCTATGGTGCTTTTGTTGTTATGAATCATATTTTATAGCCACAGAGAGTTGGTGTGACAGTATGTGCATGTTTGTGTGTGTGTGTCAGTTTTGTAGTCAATATCAGATAACTGCACCTCCTCTGTGATGTTAAATAATAAATGATGACATAACGTCAGCTTGGCAGTGCAACCTTTAGAGCAGGGGTTCTCAAACATTTTGGTGCCAGGGACCCCTTTCAGGGGAAAAAAAATTCCAAGGACCCCCCTCATATTTATAACAGTTATTGAGCACAAAGTTAATGTGTGAGCGGCAAATGAAATATTTTTGCACAAAATGAATGGTCTCCACCCAGGGTACTATGCAGGAATTTCTAAATAGCCTACTGAGGTAACGAAAGTGATCTTGCTAGGAATCACTTAGGATCCCTCACTTAGGAATTTTTGATGTTCTTAATCTACACATGTGCATTTTAAGGTGTTTTAAGGCCCCACAATTGGATAACTATAGATTTAGTAGAAGCATGTCAGTCAGTGGCATACATTTTTTTTTTTTTTTGTCAAGATGTCACGAAACACAATCACATATTCCAATCAGGAATGGCCTTAAAAGAGAAATGTTTAAATAATTAGGCCTATTCTGCACACAAAAAAAAAGCCCATAAGCCTATAAATACAATGATAATGGCATTATGTTTAATAGGTGCGTGCGTTGTTAATTTGAGCTACTGTAATTAGCTAAAAAAAACATACAGTATATGTTAAATATATGAATCCATAATGTTAATCTCATGGGCACAGTATGTTTCTATTGACCTGCTTTTTCCTTTGTTAAAGTTGAGCTTGATTAATACTTTGCAAACTGATTGTTTCAGTCGTTTTTTAAAACTTTTATCTAAAACAGCTGTTTGTTAATTAAGGCCTACATCTTATCTCGCACTTTATGACCGTTGACTGAAACGTCGTGCGGGGAACTTTGAGTTCACTCCGACTCAAACATTTTGACATTGACGAGCTATCGTTGTTAGTCTGCTGAAGCACCTCAGACGAGAAGGTCAGTATCATCGCGATGTGCATCCTTGCAACCTCAGTTGTGGGTACGGCCCTGTCACTATGCACTTTTATTTTGATAATGATCAGACTTCTAATGTCAAATCTACAGTAGCAGTGCTAGAACTGACTATTGTGCGCGCACGCGAGACGCCGGCGCGCAATTACATGGGAATTTTTCCTCAGCAGTGGAAACAGGAATACTCTTATTTATGGTCATAGATAAGACAAGAGTGCATCATCCGAAACGGTAAAGTGTCCATTTTTTTATTTGTGTATAGGCTACATTATAAATGACTACAAAATGTCATGCCTTTTAAAAATACAGAAAAGAACCGGATGCGGGTTCATGCCGTCTCTCTGTCTCCTTTCTGGCGCACGTCCCGCAAAATCAACAGCAGCGAATAGTCTACTTGACGCAAAGACATAGATTATCTATCTATAGAAAACTTTAAGTGTCTACTTTGTATTGTTTTATGTTAAATGCTTTATATAAGTTACTTAGGAATAAACAGCATGTTTTCAGATGATAAAGAAAACATGACTCAGCATGGAAAAAAACGTTAGGTTGTAAATTATTTCGCGGACCACCAGGGGTCCGCGGACCCCACTTTGAGAACCACTGCTTTAGAGGGTAATACCTATACTTTAGCACATAGACACTCAACCAGAAGATACAATAGCTGTAATAAGATCATAAAAAGTGTGTATTTGTTTTGCAGGTGACGTGTTAATACAGATCTCAGACAGTCAGAGAAGACTCACCAATGAGATGGAGGGAGTGGTGTGTTACAGACCTCTATTGATCTTTTTATATCTGTCAGTTTGTTGACGTAATACTTGTTAGACTGTCTGTACAGCTAATCCCATGTATAATGAGTATGTCTGATTGATTCAGTTCCGCTGGTTCCACTCCGAGGTCCTTCAAGAGATGGACAACAATGTCAGACTAGATAAAGATTACATATCGGTGAGTTTTTTATTCTGTATTGTAAATGCAAACAAGAGAATGTGCATTTTAAGAAAACAAAACCCGCGTAAACATCTGTTTGTTATCACAATTATAACAGCAGCTTGAGATGAGCATCTTAATAAAGGATTCCTTCCTTCAACCTTCTCAAAACTCATAACATGGAGCATTAGCCGATTTAAACTAATCGGAATGTTGAAACTAATATTGATATGGTTCATTTTCTCCTCCAGAACAGCAGGAGGCGCTATGAGATGGAGGTGAGAAACCAGGCAACAGCACTGGAGAGACAGATGAGGCGAGGGGTCCCACAGGTGAGAGCAGTGTGTGCATAGATATCCACAATAAAGGCTAGATATCTCGTCTACGCTGATGGCCAATGGAGGTCGATGTCTGCACCTGGTGGCCATCTTGTTACAGGCAGCTCGCTCACTCGTAACATTGTGTTTTAATGGTGCATGTACTTTTTAATAACCAAAACTTGCTCAATTTTCTACTGATTTTCAAACAGTTTGGTTTGTTATAAACGTCAGAGATGTAGCTATGAGACTGCATACTTATGAATAAGTGTATAAATAAATAATCACCCAGAATTATAGCCACGTTAATAATAACGTTTGTAAGAAACCAAATCGTTTGTAAATCTGTCAAGATTTCAAAGAGTATTTAAAAGTATTTGTGTTTAAGAGTACATAAGAGTATTTGTGTTTGTGCTGATCACTCGTCTTACATCAGCTTGCCTGTGACAAGATGGCCGCCGTTGATGACGATAGAAACTCCACCGTAAGACATCTAACCTTTATCGTGGATATCTATGAGTGTGTGACTCTTCCCAAATGGCACTTTAGATGTAATTTCTCATTAAAAAAAGAAGAAAGATGAAGGTGATGTTTGTGTTCAGGATGGCAGTGAGTATGTGCACTTCCTCAGAGAGTGTCAGAAAGACGCATTAAAGGAGGAAGAAAGAAGATATCGATTCCTGGCGGAGAAACACTGCGGACTCACCCAGTCTATTGCATATCTCATGAACAAGGTTAATGTCATTATTTTTTTATAATTAACTTGCCACTTAATTGAGTTGTAACCAAAGTAATATGTAGATATTATTAAGGAGAACTTGTCAAAAGTGCTTGAAATGTACTAAAAGCGTTATAAAAGCTTATTATTAGTAAAATTTACTTTTTTTTATTAACACAATTTTCGAGGGGACTTTAAAAACGTGCTTCATGCTACATAAATGTTATTTTCTAGAATATTCTTTTTCCACCTTTTAAAAATTTCTTGTAGCTGGATTTACTTGCAAATTGCTTGCAAATTGTTCAGTCTGATTAACATTGACAGTGTTATTCCTCCCACAGACAGGGGGCGGCCTGCAAAACAGAGCAGAGGGCTGGAAAGATCTGGTGAATCACACAAGAGAATCCCATCCACGCACTCCTTCACGACTGGAGGAGAACATTGTGAGATACAGTATAATGACACAATAATCGCATTAAAAAATAACCTCCATCTCATAGCGCCTCCTGCTGTTCTGGAGGAAAAAGTCAATCACATCAATATTTATTCTTTTAGTCACATTAAAAAATAATCATATGGCACTTAGCGACCCTAAATGATGATGCTGTTCATAGATGTGGATGTTTAAACTCACCCCATGTTACTATGTCGTTCTGTCAGCCTGATGTTAACCGCTGGGCAGAGCAGCCACTGGGAACGGTGCCCTCTAGAGGTGTGGAGACTTTATTCTGGCATCAGACGAAACGTTTGAAGAATATTATAGCCTTTTTTGTGCTCAATGTGACAATTTCACCCCTTCTTCGCAGGCCCCTCCCCCCAGCCCAGTCGTTCCAACTCAGTCTCAGGATTGGCTGGTGGCAAAGTGATGCGAGCACTGGTGCCCCACCCTCCCAATGCTAACTCCACCCTCCTGCCATTCTCTCGGGGAGAAGCCATCACACTGCTCCTTAAAGAGCCTAGGAACGGCTGGCTGTATGGATGTTCTGATAGCTCTGGACGGTGAGACCAGTTGACACCTTAATCCTCACCTTTAGACTTTTGATTAGGGCTGTTTTATTCTGGTCCATTGAGCATTACATTTAAATAAAAATATCTTGAATCCAACTTAAGTGAAGTGACGTCAAGGCCAAGTATGGTAACTCATACTCGGAAAATGTACTCTGATCATCACACACACACTACAAACCGTGGACACACTCACCCAAAAGCAGTGGGCAGCCATTCACTGAGGCACCCGGGGAGTGATTGGGGTTACCTTGCTCAACTATGCGCAGCTTTATTCCGTACTGTAATGTCTCCATTATATTGTCATTTGTTGTTCATTTGGCACTTTGCAAACAACACAACCTTGTTCCTGCAGCGACTTTAAGCATGTTTCCTTTAACAAAGTACATGTTTATGTTTTACATGCCGTGATAGTGACATAAATCATGCAAAATCTGATTAGAGTGGTCAGACTGAAACATATTTCCAGAAATGCGATTTAAATAGGATTTCAAACCACACATTAATGCACCTCCAAACTGATTTGTGCAAATCTCATTTAGTGTGCTTTTTTTGCTCTTCACAGTCACACATGCTACATATGATCAGATTCCAATCGGAAATGCACAAAAATCGGATTTGGACTGACAGTCAGAGGATAACCTTTAAAAGACTTGACGGTTAGAACCGGCTCATTTGATTCTTTTTGGCTGTTTAAACCTGGTATTAATGCATTTGGTTGATCGTATCACAAGTAGACGAGGGAGACACATTCCTGTTTACACCTAGTGTTTAATCCGTCTCTTTTGTCCACTTTCAATCACTTCTGTCCTGATTTCTTCGAGGGGAGGATCTATGGGCGGGTAAATGTGTTTTTTCAGATCTTTCGATCTAATGGACAAAATAAACTCACTCAATTTACATATGAACGTGACTGTAGATGATGGAAATACATGGAGATCATCAGCTTTCATTACTTCTCTGACAAACGCAAGGTTATGTTTGAAATCAGGAATGGCGAGAGAACATTGTGCTTAGTACGTTTTTCGCCTTCAAAGTAACCCAATTTGGGTCTCAGCCAACAAATTATAAATCTCATCCAGCTAGTGTGCTTCACATAATGATTTTGTCACACATTATGTCCGTAGGGGGAGAGTATCTTTTTTGGCTGTTCGAACACATGAGCGTTTACACTATGAAAGCAATCCGGTCAAATGTGTTTTCGACGACCTTTGAAAGTTTTCGAAAGTGGACAAGCTCATAATGTTTTATACCCAGTTTACACCGTATTTAGTATCGTCCGACTAGTGATTAGTCCGACTAGTCCGATTTACCAAATTGCATCTTAATACCAGGTGTAAACAGGGCCTTTGAGTCAGACGTAGGTGCACTGTAATGGGGTAGGGTGTTTCCAGCGGTGCCCCTGGTCGGACATGACTGAAAAAGTCGACTTTCCATTCTGCCTGTAGGTTTGATTTGTTCATTTCAAACCAGTTCTTTGGTTCAATGACCCATCTGGCCATGTCTATATTAGCTCATTCGGTGCTGCTCAGGGAGCGTGCGTGCTACATCAAATGTGAAAATATAAAGTGTCATTAATCCACAACTAAAGTTTGATTCTGTGAACCAGTTAACTGCTTAAGAGAATGATTCGTTCTCGTTCAAGACTTGAACGTCTTTAATTTTGATGGTGTAACCCCTTGTCCCAATGCTAATTATGATAGTGAATGTAGCTAACCCAATTTAGTAAATATAACACGAGATGGGGCCCTGGGTCGGTCCTATATATTAATAAAATAAATAACGCAGGTGTTGGTTTGTTTTATGACAACTTAATTAAATAAACTTTGCAACAGCTTACTTTGGCAGTGCCTCCACTTAGTAGGAAATTATTACTTTACTTAAAATTATCCTACTAAGATGCTTTTAAATTCACAGATTAAACCCACAAAGAATGATGTAAACTGGAGGGGGAAAAACACACTGAAATGTGAATGGAGTGCTTATATACAATTTAATGTGAAAAAATAAAAGAATATGAAAATAAAGAGTTCAATTATTGTGATTAAATATGTTCCGTTTAGGAGGAAGCAGTTAAATAATATGCAGAGTATAATTGAAACAATTCCAATATGAATACTCAATTCAATTTTCACCCAAATCAGATTAATAAAATTTCAATTTAGCTGAACCTTAATGACCAAAAAATCAAGTGGGCCAAGATATTCATTCACACAGTCTCAAACAAAAATAAATCTTTGCAGGCCTGTGACTTGAGAGCGTGGTGGCCAAAAACACAAATAAAGGCCGCTTCACTTTTAAAGCAAATAAATGGTTAACGTTACCGTTATCTTTCCAAACTGAGGAGGAGATGATCCCCATAACACAACCACAAAAACAACTGTCCGTTTCCTGTGAAAAATATGTTATAATCAGTCCATGTAACTTATCAAATAAATCACAAACATAACGGGTGCACAACAGTCACAAAATGTATGCTAACATGCTATCGCGATTAGCATTTTCCTCAGTACTTAACCATATTTAATACAGACAGTATTAAACACAAAAACGGAAAATGTACCTTCACACAAGTAGACAAACATCCCAGAAAAGCACAACGATTGGCCATCCATTATAACTGGGTGTACTTTCCCATATTTTTACAAAAACTAAGCGGATTGTGACTTCCTTTCACTTTCACCATGCATTTCTGCAAAAACAACGCACATCTCCAAAACCCCGCCCCTCATGAATAATCACCGTCGGAATTTACCCAATCAGAAAACAATAAAATAAAGATGCAGATATTTCACTATTTCAGTGCAAGCAAGTTGTGGTGCCTAAAAGTATAGTTTAAAACCAAACTTAAATAACGCCTATTTCTATGCATATAAAATTCCATCTGGGCTACAATGGTGTATGTCCATTTTTGAATCAAACTCCATAAAAGTCAATTTTTGCAAGAGAGTTGCTTTATTCTCCTCAGTAACACTCTAAAAACATCTGATGTTCAAACAGACCACCTGATTTTGTTTCCTGTTCATTTATTATGCATTGTTTAGGCAAGGCTGGTTCCCTGCTGCTTATGTAGGCCCCATGAATGAACCACCTGGGCCACCTGTCTCCAGGTAAGCCAATACTGCTTTCTCTACTTTCCCATTTCTTCAATCTCATGACTTTTAACCATTATTCTCTGTTCAGTAGCAGTTCTTTTAGAAGCAGCAGTATGAGTAACCTCCTCGATCAAACTGTGAGCAGCAGCCAACAAATAACTCCGCCTGCAGCTCCTCCGCCACCTTCTCCATCAACCAGATCTAACTCCAGGCCCGTCACTCCCACCCCTTCAGAAAACAGAGTAAGACCTGTTAAAATCGACATCAACAACAATAACATCTGAACAACAAAAAAAAAAAATCTAATTTTAATAATTCATTCATTCATTCATTCATCATTATTAAAATGACTGGATTTTATCCATCAGAACTCTATTAGACTGTGTTTAAATAATCTTTTAATTTCAGCTGGAAAGGTAAAGTTATTACATTTTGATTAAATTTATTAAGGCAAACATTTTGTCTTTAAGTAAAGATTAAGATTCAGTGACTGTAATGTATGAATCCTTTGAGTGTGTGTTTAAATTCTGATGTGGTTTGTGGATTTCTTTAAGATCTGCTGATGTTCAGAATATTTTAAATCCCTGGAGAGATTCCTGACTGTAAGCTAAAGTAAATGTGTAGATGAGATGACAGCAGACTGACTTTGAATTTTAAGTGTCAGTTCCTACTATGGCCAGCAGGGGCACTGTGGTGAAGTTCTGTTCTCTACAACACCACATCCTTCGTTCTGGTGGCTGCAGGGGGGCAGCTCTTTCTGCTGATGGTCGGTGTGTGTATGTGTGTGTGTGTGTATGCTGCATGCTTTGGTGTGATCTTCTGCTATACCAACATTGATGCAAAGAGTATCAGTTATATATGAGCCTGTTCTGGTTTGCTCTCTCTCTCTCTCTCTCTCTCTCTCTCACACACACACACACACACACACACACACACACACACACACACACACACACACACACACACACACACACACACACACACACACACACACACACACACACACACACACACACACACACACACACACACACACACACACACACACACAGTGAGGGAGTTGGATTACATGACAGCATCCATGTTGATCATCAAAAACCACAGACATCACAGAATTGCACAAATCCATTGCTCACCAACATGTGTGCTGTCCATTTCCCTCCAAAATGATGTCATCTCCTGGAAGCTGATGTGGCTTTTGTTAGATTTTACAAAATACTAACAGGTGTGATATTGAGGACAGAGGAAACCCCTTAATTGTTGAAAACAATAATAATACATTTAATACACAATAATACATGCAATCAAAGCGCTTTACATAGAAGGGGGAACCTCCTCATCCACCACCAGTGTGCAGCGTCCACCTGGATGATGCGACAGTGCACCAGAACGCCCACCACACAGCAGCTTACTGGTGGAGAGGAGACAGTGATGAAGTCAATTAAACCACAGTAACATTAGTTGTTGGGAATATTGTTTAAAGTTCATTATATACGACACTGAACAATAAACCTACATGATTTTTATAAATTGTAAGTTGAATATTTTGTCTAGTATATTAATGCATTCATAATAATGTCCTGCATAGTGACTTTCGCATCGATGTCTCAGTTTTGTTGTTCAATAATTACAAAAATATTATGTTCACGTGATAGGAAGTAGGACATTGAATTTTCACTTTGCTTGTAAATTACACAAACAATTACAAAGAAATGTTGTTGCCTAGGTAACACATTGGATTAATAATGCATTTTTTAAATAGATTGATAATAGATTATTTTCTTATAAAAAACATACTTAAATAATCTTTATTTATTATCGGAGGCCACAAAATAAAATCTAATGGGCTGGAAGAGTTCATCTGTTTTATACCTTTGATGCAAATATTAGCAGTTAGTTTCACTACTAGTCTACTGCAGTTTGCTTTTGGTTTGAGTTTGACCCTTGATTTCAAGATCAGTCTCTGAGAAAACATTACATTTGTGTGGTTTTGCTGTGACTTTTACTGCATACTAATTGTAAGAATAGCATAAACCCATTTTAAAAGAATCAGCCATACTGAATGATTTTTCTTATTTTGTTTTCGACAGAGACAAGATCAATTTGAGTCTCGACCAGATCTTTTTCCAAGGTCGGTAAAAACACTTTTTATATTCATGTCCCTTAACCTTTAATTATGTTGCTTTACGTATCCACAGCACCAATAAGAGATCATCTATATTGCAGATGTTTCTGTTTAACATAATTTCATTCTTTTTTTGCAGAGGCACGAATCCATTTGCCACCGTGAAGCTGAAACCCACCAAAACCAATGACAGATCAGCTCCACGCATATGAAAGATATGTCAACCAATGGCAACAATTCTTCAACAGCTAATCACTGCTCCACAATTTACTATACATTGTTCATCCATATTTAAAAACATTAACTATCCAGCATAATCAGTACAAAGCATCACATTTAAGACAATGCAACTCAACAATGATTAATGACTGATCTTTAAAAGTCTGCTTGTTCATGCAGTCTTTTTTATATGCAGATGATTCTGCGCTGATTGTTTCTCACAAGGATAAGAATATGATTGAAAGCATTCTTAGCACAGAACTCCTAAAGGTTAGGATGTGGATGGCTGATAACAGATTATCACTTCATTTAGGGAAAACTGAATCCCTATTGTTTGGAACAAAGATAAAGTTAAAGAAAGCCTCATGTTTTAAGGTCCTAGCTGGAGATATTGTAATTAAGGAATCAATCAGTTATCTTGGATGTTAGATTGTAATTTATCTGGAGTAGGTCCAGCCAGCGGTAATCACCAAAGTTAATCAGAGAGTTATCAACGTTTTTGGATGAAAAAACAAAGCTAGTTTTGGCAGTAGCTTTAATTCAGCCATTTTTGGATTATGCTTGTGGTGCATGGTACAATGGTCTCAGAGTAAACCTGAAACATAGGCTTCAGACGTCTCAAAATAAATTATTAAGGCTAATTTTAGACCTCCCCATTAGAACTCATCTGGAATCTTCCCACTTTGAATGGGTGGGATGGTTGAAAGTTGAGGATCGAGTGTCTCAGATGCAGCTGGGTATGGTACATCAAATTGTTTATGGAGATGTTCCTACATATTTTAGAAATTATTTTAATATAGTAAATGAAGTTCACAGGTACTCCACTAGGGGTAGCTCAACCGATTTTGTACCCCCCAAACAGTCTTTTCTTTATGTTGGAACTACCTGGTACACTCAAGACAGTAAGAAGTATAGGTAATTTTAAACAAGGTCTGAAATTATGGTTTAGGGGCCAATTGTAGTTTTATAATACCATAGTTTATTTTTTCTGTACAATATGTATGAATTTGGTTAATGTATGTGAATGATTGATGTATGATGTGTTGCCACTTGACTTCTTCCGCTGCCTTTATAAGTGACCACAATAGAAATAAGTCTTCGGGCTTTATTGTGTTATCCCTGACTACTTTTGTATTTGATTTTAATGTATGAAACAGTTTCTTACTGTTTTTCATATTTTTATATTTAAGTCGTCAAATAAAATCAATCAATCAATCAATCAATCAATCATTAAATCAGGCACAGTATAAAGAAAATGTACATTTATCTGGCTGTTGGAGGGTTGGCAGCAACAAACATTTAATAACTCTCTTAAATATAGAGTGGCCCCATAACGTATTTGGACACTTTGTCACACTTAAAATACATGAATTTCGTGGTGAGACTTATACAAATACTGCAGGTGTTTTTTTAGTGGATGTATGGAGCCAGTTCTACTCAGATTAAACCGGTATAGATTATCCAACGCAATCTCACGACCAATTTGTACGAGTGATTAAAAGGTGGCTAATTCATATGACTTTGTATGATTTGTCTAAACCCACGTGACGGGTAGGTTTAGGGGCGGGGTCAGGGTGTGTCATTCGTGCGAATTCATACGAATTGGGCAACTCAAAATATGTACGATTTAGCAAAAATCTTACTAATTCGTAAGAGTGAGGGTGTACGAATTGTTATGAATTAGCCACCTCGTAAAATTCGTCGATCGGGTTGTATTATCACAATACCTACGCACATGTTGCAACAGCCGATTAGTAGAAAGTTTCACAACACTGTTCATCTTTATTTAGAACAGTGTACCTCTCACTTGAAACCTTTCTTTTTGAAAGTGTTAAGTGAAAAATGTATTGCTTTAAACTAAATCCACTTGATTTGATACTGTCATATAATGCAATGCCATTTTTTCAGATGTGGCTTATGTGTCCAAATATTTAATGCCACTGCAGTGGTCATTTCTGTGTATTTTCAAACATGACATCACTTCCTGGTTCTCTTGTCGTCCATGTTTCCTCCAGTCTGTTATAAAGTGCAGCAGGTTTGTTGCTGTAGTTGTATTGACCAACCAGGAAACGTAAATGCAGGTCAGCTCAAGTACTTTTAAGTGTTGAAACAAGTGTCTTTTTCATCGTTCACATCTTCTAATAGTTGTATATAATTTGCACTAAGAAAAACACTTCCTAAAGCATCACTGGTCCTCAAAATGCACTTTATGTTTGTATGTCATGCTTGATGCCATTTGGGCTGGTTTAGAGTTCTATGAGGTCTGACCTCTTGGACCCCCGGCATCTCTGATTAGCGACTATCGGTCTCTCTCTCCTGCCCTGTGCTTGAACTTTGTCTCTCTGCTCAGTTAATTTATCGGACGTACCCAATTATGAGCTGCTCTTAAATTGGCTGTTCTGTCTGCATAAGTGCCTCTAAAGTGAATGTTCACTTTAACCTTGACAGTAATTAGTGTGACCTTCTGCGGTGTCAAGCCCATTTCTCTGAATGTCTTGCATCTAATCAGCATGTTTTTTTTTTCTTTGAGAATATTTTCTAGTTTGATTTAATAGTTCAATACAGAAATATGTGCATATATCATGGTGATTTACGTCTATTATGCTTCAAGCAGCGGATACTGGGAAAATACATGGCACACGTATACTCTCTCCTGTAATGAACTATGCATTCGATTCTTCACGTCTTGATCTGTTTGCTAAACAAATAAAATAATGTGAAGTTGATTCAGTGTCTCTGAAGTGGTCAATTTCTCTGAAAATGTTCAATTTGAGCATCATAAGAGTTTGAGAGGGACAAAGTCACCTGCTGTGTTAGGGAGTAACTAACCAAAAGTAGCAATGCCACTTTTTCACAAAACATTTTAGTTCCAGAATGTGACATTAGCTTTCTTCTGAGAAATATTCACTTTAGACACAGATAGACAGACAGATAGACAGACAGACAGACAGATAGATAGATAGATAGATAGATAGATAGATAGATAGATAGATAGATAGAGAATTTACTGAATTTACAGACTTACTGTACTTTTGACTAATTATAGAAGAAAAGAGAGAACACAAACACATTTGTTTCACACTGGAACTCTTCAGGCTTTGTCTCTTTATTTTGTTTTCTTTCACAACTTGACCTCTTTTGGTGTGTTTAACAGAAGCCTGTTACCAGAGAGTTTGGAGGGAAGGTGGGGGGCAGTGGGATTCAAGGAAAATTAGGATAGACAAAGAATAGTGGACGATGGAGAGTATGTTGTTTTCTTTTCTATTATATCTACATGTTGATGGCATGAGGTTTTCCCAGTTAAAGGTCTCGATCTATAGCCTACAATAGCAGAAACACTCACTTTTGTATAAAAAGGAAAATAAATAGAATGAGGGTGGGAGATTTGTGTGTGTGTGTGTTGGTGATGTCCTCAGGTTTGGGTGTGCAAGCATGTGTGCGAAGCCCCAAAGTATACTTCGGACGTCCGTGTTCCACAATGGTCCGCGCACTGTCTGCGTGACGTAATTTTCGTTATCAGGAGGCTCCGCAGACGTTCACGCACAGCCCAGTTTTTTTGACCGGTGTGTGTTGAGTGAGTGTTGAGCGCTTGAAAGCAAAGTCCACTAGCTGTGTGATGTGCGCTGAATGCGTCTTTCCACGTTCACGGCTAAAGGAGAATTTCAAAAGCTCGTGCACTCAACCGGAACACGGAAAACGAAGTATACCCGGGGCTTAAGTGAGTGTGTATGTGCGTTTGTGCTTCAGGGGCATTTTAGGCTGAGGTCGAGGTCAAGGGGTCATGTATGAACAGGCCAAGAGTCTGTATCACTTATTCACGAACCAGAGCAGCAAATTCTGAAACAAAAAGAAATGAAAAAGGTATAGGCTACATAATGTGGTTTAGTAAAAGCATCATGTTCTTAAGGGGTCCAGACTGTGACTAAAATTGTTGTAAGTGCAATAAAAAAAGAAAAAAAGAAATCAAGACAATAAACTTAAAATCTAGTCAGTTGTCAGTTTGTGTGCATCCAAGTTTCATCACATTTTGGTGAAATTACCTTATGAAAAAAATATTTTTAATGAGTCATCCTAAAAGCCTTCGAAGCCTTTACTGAGTTCATTGATGTGGGCTTTGACTACCTCACTGAACCTTGAACTATTTTTCGGTTCTCTCTGAACTGGGAACCATTACATGAAATTAACCCTGCAAAGCCTGACTTATGAAATAATATTATTATTTATATATTTAAAAAATGGAACAGATTAAGCATTTGATAAAACATAAAAAAGTTGAATTTTGACGAGTATCGTATTTGATACAACAGACTTTTATGACTCATATATAGTAAAGAATAGAGTTGTAATGAGAAAATTGAGCTTATACTTGAGGGGAAAGCAAAAAATATGGAATCTGGTTGATGATATTTATTGCCAAAATTAAGATAAAATTATAATGCCTTGTCATGTAGCTATATCAATGAGATGTTTATAATATTAAAGCAGAATTCTTGCGTAAAATTAATATTTAAATATCAGTTTATGACCAAATCTTTGTAGTTTATATTGCTAGGGCAAAACATATAATGCAATGCAATGCAATACTATAAAATTATGATTGAGATAATGGACCAAAAAAAAAACCTTCCTCAAAAAAATCCTGATGTATCATTTTTGATTCTCACATTTTAACATGATTTTTCTTAAAAATATAATCAGGTAAACCTAGGTTGCTTTAGTCAAGTAACAGTTTATCTGGAAATATTAATAAGAAAATAAAAATTTAAGATTACATTTGCTTTATAAAAATCATTTAAGATTTTATAGCTATTGAACGTGTGTAGCATAACTTGAAGGGGGACATTTTTAGAATTGGAAGGCTTTTTAGAATTAGAATTAAACACTAGAAGGCTTTTACTTGCTCAATCAATCATGATCAGATAACAGACGCCCCTGGTGTTACGGCTATATTCCTTTCACTTTACCTTCTGCTCCAATCTTTCCATCTCCATCTTTGTCCGCAGCCTGCAGGAATGCTTTGGTCTCCTTATCGGTCAGGTCTCTCCCGTCTGTAGCAAACCCCTTCAGAACAAACCTGCAGAGAGGAAACCGAGCGAGACGAACGCCTTTCAAACCTCTTGTGTGCTCGCCTTTATCCAGAGAGTTTCAATTACAAATGTTACGGGTTATAAGCAGTGGTGTAGCGCAAATCCCTTGATGTGGCCGATAGCTAATGCTTTTGACCATATCTTGTCTTGCTATCGTTGATACACAATATCATTGTCTATTAGTGCGACCTGGAATGGGGGGTTAATTGGTTACAAGAAAACATGTTTGTTTGTTTTTAGCAGTGTAGAAATTGTGTCAATCTTACTTAAGTTCCTCTTCCTCTATAAAGCCGCTATTGTCGGCGTCCAGAACATGGAAAGCCTTCTTCACCTCATCAGCAGACTTCGCCTTCAGTCCGACAATCTCAAAAAACCTCTTGTGGTCGAATGAGCCGACGGCTGCGAGAAGATCGAAACACAGAGAGAATCACTGATGTTTTGTCTGGAAACTATTTGCTCGAAAATAGAAATGATCATCATTTCATCACCCTCATTTTTTTTCCAATTCATATGTCTTTCTTTCTTTTGTAAAACACAAATGGTGAATTTTCTCTTGATATAATGAAAGTGAATGGGGACTGGGACTGTCAAGCTTCGAACAGAACAAAAAAAGGGGCTGGCCGTTTCACGACAACTGTCTTTTGGGGGGACTGAAAACGCGAACATTTGAAAACGGTTTTCAAAGTGAACGTGTTTGAAAACAATACCGTTATCGTCTCCGTGTAAACTAAAAAAAACATGAATTTGTGAAAACGTCACATGCATGTGTACATTACGTGTTTAGGCGAATAGTGTTTCTTTACAAAGTGACATCGCCAACTACTGGACTGACATGAATAATAATACAGCAGCCGTTTATGTGAACGTGCATCGTTTTGACAATGTTGTCATCTATAAGCGAAGAACGCAAAGGAAAAATGCAACCCTTAAAATACTCTTAAGTTGTAGCCCTAAAACTTGCCCTCTGCCGTAGCTCTTAAATCAAATTCTGTGGCATTAGATGGGTTTGATACAGCAGAGTGGCCGCAC